CCTCCCAAGAAGAAGGTAGGAGGGGACCAGCCTCCCAAGAAGAAGGTGGCAGGGGACCAGCCTCCCAAGAAGAAGGTGGCAGGGGACCAGCCCCCCAAGAAGAAGGTGGCAGGCAACCCATCCCCCAAGAAGAAGGAGGAAAGCAGTGACTCTTCTGATAGCAGTGAGGACAGCAGTGATGAGGAGGCAGCCACAGGTGTGTGCATGTAGTGGGCAGGGGCACAGATTTTGGTTGAGGGGTAAGAGGCAGTGGGTGAGAACCAGGAGTGGACCAGGAAATAGAGACACTTTTATCCTTTTCAGCTAAAGCCGGAGGGGCCAAAGCTGCCACACCTAAGCCTGCATCAGCCAAGGCCACAACAGTCAAGACACCCACAAACAAGGCCACAGGAGAGGAGTCCAGTTCAGATAGTGACTCAGGTATTTTGTTTGTGTCTGTTTATTCATTCTCCTCTCTGTCTCTCATCCTTTGTTGAAGAAGTTTGGTGGGAAGGAGGGAGATCAGATCAAAGCCTCGGGGTAAGAATCGTTTCCTTGGCAGGAGTTGTGGGCCCATCCTAACCCCACAGATTCCTTACAGATTCCAGCTCAGAGGAGGAAGAGAAGAAGCCTTCTCAAAAGGCAGCCCCCAAACCTGTTGCTGTTAAGGCAGCTTCCAAGCCAGCTGTGACTACAAAGGCTGCTGAGAACTCTTCAGAGAGTTCAGGTATAGCAGTGGAAGTTAGGGAATTGGGTGAGGGGAAAAGAGGGGGAATCTGTTACATGGCCGTGCTCTGGGAACATCTGCTCACTTCTCCCTTTGTGTGTAGACTCAGACAGCTCTGAGGATGAAGCACCAGCCAACCCAGCCCCTGGCACCAAGCTGGCCACCAATCAAAAGCCCCTGCCCAGGAAAGCAGATAGCAGCTCTAGCGAAGAGGAAAGCAGTTCTAGTGAGGAAGAGAAGAAGCCAGGGAAAAAGACTGCAGCAGCTGTCCCCAAACCCAAGGTGGGGGCCAAGGAAACTCCATCTCCAGGGCCCAAAGCAGCCACCCAGGACAACAGTTCAGACTCAGACAGCTCTAGCAGTGAAGAGGAGAAACCAGCAAGCAAAGTGAATAAGTCCAAGGTGGGGACTGCAGCTGTTCCTAAACCTGCCTTGGCAAAAAAATCTAAGGCTGAGAGTAGTTCATCTTCTGATAGCTCCAGTGAAGAGGAGGAAAAACCTAAACTTAAAAAGAGCCCTGGCCTGGTGGCCAATGGGTCTTGCCCTCCAGCACCCCAGAACGGGAAGACTTGTGCACCCAAGGAGGAGGAAGAGGAGGAAGAGGCAGCAGCCAAGCCAGGTCTGTGTCAGGACATGGGGAGGCACTGTCAGGGGCCATCTGTATATCCTCAACACTTCAGTGTCTAGGACAGCCCTGGGGAAGTTGGTATAGAATTGAACTCTCAAGGTTGTTTCTTGATGAATAATCCTAACTTGTGTGCCCACCAGGCTCTGAGAAGAAGCGGAAAAAGGATGCTAGCCTTGGCCAAGAGGCCAGTCCCCCTAAGGTGAAGAAACAAAAGCCTCAGACCCCAAACACGGTTCCCAAAACAAAAAAGGTGAGTGATCAATGGGTCCTAGAGGATCCTGTCCCCTCGGGGTCAAGGGGAGTATTTCAGAGCCAATTCAGGGTACCCTCTTGGCCTCTTTTCCCTATACTCTAATCGTCTTCCTCAGGGAGAGAGAAGGGCATCCTCCCCTTTCCGGAGAGTTAAGTCAGAAGAAGTTGAGGTCGACTCTCGAGTGGCTGACAACTCCTTTGATGCCAAGGTAAGAAAGGAATGGTGGTACTGCCCTCGGAGAGAGTAGTACATCGCCCTTCCCTAGCCCTTCTGGTTGGTGATGACTTCTTTCCTTTCCTTAGCGGGGTGCAGCTGGAGATTGGGGAGAGAAAGCCAACGATGTCCTGAAGTTTACCAAAGGCAAGTCTTTTCGACATGAGAAGACCAAGAAGAAGAGGGGCAGCTACCGGGGTGGTGCCATCTCCACCCAAGTCAACTCTGTTAAGTTTGAAAGTGACTGAGTGGAGAGATCTTAACTCTGCAACCTGAGGCCCAGTGCCCAGCACCCAGTTCTGTTTGTGGGATTGGGTAGCTGGAGCTAGTGACTGCCCCCTCAGCCACAGTCTGCACTTGGCCATGGACAGGTTTTCAGTGAGGATCCTTTGGGGAGTGGGTTGGTGGTGGGACAGGAAAGTAAGCCCAGGGAAGCATTCTTCTGGAAGTGTGTTGCTTGGTTGTTGTCCCCTCAATCCTCTGAAATCCAAATACAGCTCAACCTCACTTGAGAAGTCCCTGAAAGGTTGTATGTGAAGCAAAAATTTGTAATTTTATATTGAATCATATTTTCCTATTGACTAATATTATAACTTTCCAGAGACACACTCCCACAGGTAACATTTTGACCCCATAAACTTTGGTAAAAGACACATTTGAGAACCCTTAATATTTTGGACTGTATCAGTTTGGGGGCCAACCTATCTTAGGAGAAGCTCACCTCCAAGTTAACTGCAGAGAGGTGAGTTTTTCCACAGAATTTTTGTTAAAACCCTCAACATAGTCTGAGAGGGAATAGTGACCTGCATCTGCACCATCAAAGTCCTCACAGTTTTGAAAACTTTGGAGTTTTGAAATAATATTCATCTCAAGTAAGAGGCTAACTATCAGTTCACTCATTCTGTGTGTTCATAATCTCCTTCAAGCTTCATAGAGAGCCAGCAAATAAGCAACTGACAATAATACTCCCAGGTTCACTTATTTCATTAAGCATTCTGACCAGCCCCATTTCACAAGATCTTCCATTTAGAGAGGGGAGAAATCTCAAGAGGTCCTGTAGTCCAAACTTCTGTCCTTCCTTTCACAGATGAAGGGATGGAGGCTCACAGAGCCAAAGGTCACCTAAATAATAAATGTTGAGCCAGTAATTGGACCCAAGTCCTCTTACTCCAAATCCCCTGTACTGTTCTACCTCCCATTTCTTCAAACATTCAGCCAAACTCATTGGCCAGAAGAGCCCTGTGGATGTACTCCTTTGAACATAGTTTGGTTGGTGGTTTGATCATGGTGTGATGAACTTCAAGGGCTTTTTTTTTCACCCTGGAATATCGTGTTAGACCATTGTTGGAGAGAGTCAGCATGTAGGCTGATGATAATCTTGCTGTCACCCAATGTCTCCTCAGTATCACATTGATCAAATGTTCAATGTTGTCCACTGATTTCTTGACATCCCGAGACTGTTCACCCTATTCTTAAGAGTTGTATAACCTTCTAAATATAGCCAAACCTTCAAAAAATCAGCTTAATTTCATCCAGAAAAGAAATTATATAACTATTTGGTAGGAAGGAGAAGACATAAGACCATTTGGAATCATTGTCCTAAGAATGTAAAATTTTTGCAGGGTTTTTTTTGAGGGGTGGAGAGAAAACATTTTCAATAGAAGATTCCGTAATTGTCCTCAATAGAATATAGATCTGTAGTGAAGTGACTATGTACATGCTAGTAGGGGGGTGGGAGGTAAGTTATCCGTGAAGTTCATTTTGTAGTTGGGTCAATTGATGTTGGTGGAAATGGGGAGCAGTTCATCAGAATGTTATTTTTGTTGCCCCCAGAGTTATCTGTGATAATCCAGTCCTTGGTCTTTGCCTTTGAGTAGATAACAGTTATTTGTAATTAGCACTCTAATTATGTATATACAGCCAGCATTGTTTGAAAAACCATTCTTAATGAGCTAATCCACCCTTTCTGTCTTCTTTCACTGTTTTCTAAGCGGGCCCTTTTTTCTGTAGCTAATGTTGAACTTCCATCCTGATTGCAGTTAATGTGTTAATTGCAAATGATTCTTATCTGCTCAATAAAATAAGATTTCCTAAGATTATGATCCCCCCTCATTTTTTTTTTTTTGGTGGTAAGGGTAATACAAAAAACTTAAAGAGTTAATAGGTAGACCAGTGAGGTCATTCACACCAGAAACCTAAGTAGTGACTTGATCCTGTCCTGTTACAAACATGGCTTTTGTGAGACACCTTTGTTAGTTCTAAGAACTCTTCCCTATTGAAATTAATTGCAGACATCTAATTCACAGGATTGCCCTAGTTAGGACTTACTGTGCAATTCCCTGGAAGTTTTGTTGTGGCTCTACCAGAATTAATAAACCTCACAAACTTTTGAGAAATCAGGGCAGGGGAGACCTGTCCAAGGTAATAGTGGGCACTAATCCAGAGCTCTTTCCATTAGCAAATCTAGTGAAGGCTTAGCTGCCTGCGTGTGTAATGGGGAAAGGGAAGTGGCCTATAGGAACTGGTGACCATTCCTGATTGGCCCACAAATCTTTCCCACCTCACTCAAAGGTAGAGGGCTTCCCAGATGGCCTGAAGTACTAGGAGTGATTCAGTGGGTGGCCATGCTGTTAGTGGATTAGGAAATATTTTAAGAAGGCTAAAAGGTAAGGTTCACAAGACTCAGGGCTTATCCCTACCCTCTTAGCTAGAAGCCTTCTTATTTGCCTATTTTGAACATAGATTGATGGTTGGCTTTAGTGATGGATGGAAGTGTGCTGGTGGGCATTAGACATGTCCTTAAACCCAAAGGCAGGTCGATGCCTCTGTACCTAGAGGGCAGTGGGAGGTAAGTGTTTCCTTGTGGTTTATGTACAGGTGGTATATCAGCATTTCCAAAACTGGGCTCTCAATCTTGAGAGCCTGTGCCAATTGCAACCTGCTTCTGCCTTTTGCTCTGCTAATGGGCAGGGATATCTGGCCCTTGGACTTTTGCAGGAAGGCTGGCAATCTCACAGTTCATGGGTGTGGCAGCAGCCCTTGCCCTTAGAAGAGAACCTCCTGCTACAACCTTTTTCTTTCACTCTCTCCCTCTACCCTACAGAGTCACGGATTTAAGTGATCATATCTTTTTATTTTTTAAAGAATTACCTTCTAGTCTTTAGTTCTCTCCTATCCCTAGCCATCCCATTGAGGCGAAGTCCAATCAGACTGTGGCTTGACCTGAGTGATTTGGGTTCTGGAAATCCAAGTACGTTCTTAGCTGAGACTGCCCCCTCTCCCTGCCCTTCTGGATGTTTGGAGCATCTCTGTTTAGCTTGATGGACTGGAGTGTACTAGGCTGTGGAGGAGAGAATTCATGCAGCATGAGGAAAGGGTAGGAGCTGATGTGAGTAGCTATTCTCCATTCTTCTGCTAAGTACAACAGGGAATGGAGGATGGTGCACTCTCCAGAGAGAGCTACCAGTCTGTGGAATGAAACAGAGGGAGAAGATAGTATCCTCAGGGTTGAATGAAAGAGACGCAACTCATAACAGTGACAGAAATCACAGAATCTCTGGGGTCATCTAATCCAGCCCAAAGGCAGGAGGGCGGGAATTATTTCATTTTTCTCTTTGCATTTCCAATCCAATGCTTGGCACATAATAGGCACTAAATAAATTCTTGTTAATCACTTGATATGGCAGATAACAAACATTTATTGAACCCTTATGATGTGCCAGGCACTATACTAGGCACAGGACACAAATCCAAGCAAAAAGGCAGTCCTTGCTCTCAAGGAGCTTACTTTCTAATGGAGGAAGAAAACAAAAAATGGACCTAAAAAGCATGAGGCAAGGTACCTATGCAGGGGCATTATGGTGAAGTCTGGGGAGTAGTAGCACAGCCAGGAAAGGACAAACCTGGCTGGCAAGGTTCCATCCCCAAAATAAAAGCCCCAGAAGGAACACACCAATGGCAGAAGCACGCATCATTGTATTGTTGAGAATAACTAAGTCATTCACAGCTGGTCATCTTACAATGTTGCTGTTACTTTATATGCATTACATTTCACTTTCTATTAGCTTATGTAAATCCAGGTTTTACTGAGAGCATCCTGCTCATCATTTCTTATAACACAATAGCATTCCATCATAATCACACATACCACAATTTGTTCAGCTTTTCCCCAATTGATGAGTATCCCCTCAATTTCCGTTCTTTTCCACTAGAAAAGAGCTACTATAAATAATTTTGTACATATAGGTCCTTTTTGTTTTTTTCTTATCTCCTTTGGGATATAGACCTAGTAGTGGTATTGCTAAGTCAAAGGGTATGCATGATTTTATAGCCCTTTGGACGTAGTTCCAAATTGCTCTATAGAATGGTTGAATCAGTTCACAACTCCACAAACAATGCATTAATATCTCATTTTTGCCACATTCCCTTCAACATTTGTCATTTTCTTTTTCTGTCCTATTAGCCAATCAAATAGGTATGAGATAGTGCCACGGAATTGTTTTAATTTGCATTTCTCCAATCAATAGTGAGTTAGAGCATTTTTTTCATATGATTATAGATAGCTTTGATTACTTCATCTGAAAACTGAAATCTTTTGATCAATTATCAATTGGGGAATGGCTCTTATTTTAATAAATTTGACTAAGTTCTCTGTATCTTTGAGAAATGAGGCCTTTATCAGAGAAACTCACTTCAAAAAATTTTTCACCATTACCATTTCTATTTCTTTCCATCCTATTTCCCTCCCTGCCTTTGTTTATTCTATTCTCTTTTCTTTCATCCTGTTCCTCCTCAAAAGTGTTTTACTTCTGACTACTCTCTTCCCTAATCTGCCCTCCCTTCTATAATTAACCCCCCCCTTCTCTGATTCCCTTCCCCTCCTACTTTCCTGTAGGGCAGGATAAATTTCTATACCCAATTGAGTGTATGTGTTATTCTCTCTTTTAGCCGATTCACCCTCTTCCCCTCCACTGTAAAAGCTTTTTCTTGCTGCTTTTATGTGAGATAATTTACCCCATTCTACGTCTCCCTTTCCCTTTCTCCCAGTATGTTCCTTACCACTAATTTTATTTTTTTAGTTATCCCTTCGTATTCAACTCATACCTGTGCCATCTGTCTATATGTGCTTCTAAATGCTATAATAATGAGAAAATTCTTATGAGTTACAAGTATTGTCTTCCCATGTAGAAATGTAAACAGTTTAACCTTACTAAGTCCCTTATGATTTCCCTTTCCTGTTTACCTTTTTATGCTTTTCTTGAGTCTTGTATTTGAAAGTCAAATTTTCTACTCAGCTCTCTTCTTTTAATCAAGAATGCTTGCGAAAAAAAAATGCTTGAAAGTTCCGTATCTCATTGAATGTCCATTTTTGGGATGTCTTCCAGGAGGTGATTTATGGATTCTTTCCATTTCTGTTTTGCCCTCTAGTTCTAGAATATCAGGGCAGTTTTCCTTGATAATTTCTTGAAAGATGATGTCTGGGCTCTTTTTGATCATGGCTTTCAGGTAGTCCAATAATTTTTAAATTCTCTCTCCTGGATCTATTTTCCAGGTCAGTTGTTTTTCCAATGAGATATTTCACACTGTTTAATATTTTTTCATTCTTTTGGTTTTGTTTTATTCTTGATTTCTCATAGAGTCATTAGCTTCCCTTTGTTCCATTCTAATTTTTAAGGAATTATTTTCTTCAGTGAGCTTTTGTACCTCCTTTTCCATTTGGCCAATTTTCCTTTTTTTTTCCTTTTTTTTTTCGGTGAGGCAATTGGGATTAAGTGACTTGCCCAGAGTCGTATAGCTACTAAGTGTTACGTGTCTAAGGCCAGATTTGAACTTGGGTCCTCCTCAATCCAGGTCAAGTGCTCTATTCACTGCACCACCTACCTGCCCCCCAATTCTACTTTTTAAGGAGTTTTTTTTCTTCAGTGAATCTTTGTGCCTCTTTTTTTCCATTTTGCCAATTCTGCTTTTCAATGCATTCTTCTCTTCATTGACTTTTTGTACCTCTTTTATCATTTAGCTTAGTCTGTTTGTGTGTGTGTGTGTGTGTGTGTGTGTGGCAATTGGGGTTAAGTGAGTGAGTATTATGTGTCCAAGACTGGATTTGAACTCAGGTCCTCCTGACTCCAGGCCAGTGCTTTATCCACTGTGCCAGCTAGCTGCCCCCTTAGTCTGTTTTTTAAGGTGTTATTTTCTTCAGTATTTCTTTGTCTCTACCAAGCTGTTGACTCATTTTTCAGAATTTTCTTACGTCACTCTCATTTCTCTTCCCAGTTTTCTCTCTACCTCTTTTACTTGATTTTCAAAATCCTTTTTGAGCTCTTCCATGGCCTGAGACCAATTCATATTTTTCTTGGAGGCTTTGGATGTAGGAACTTTGTTATCTTCTTCTGTGTATGTGTTCTGATCTTCCTTGTCACCATAGTAACTTTCTGTGGTCAGAACTTTTTTCTATTGTTTGCTCATTTCCCCAGCCTATTTCTTGACTTTTAACTCTTTCTTAAAGTAGTGTTCTGCTTCCAGGGTGGGGGCGCACTGTCCCAAGCTTCAGGGGCTTTGTGTACCTGTTTTCAGAGATACTTCTAGGGACCTATAAGTTTTCAGTTCTTCAAAGGTAGTATGAGCTAAGGAAAGGTGTGTTTACTGCTCTCCTGGCCTGTGTTCTACTCTATGAATGACCACAAGCTCTCTTTTCTGCCCTTGAATTTTGATAAGAGTCCCCTGCAGCCTGCAAGCTCTGGTGTGCTAGGGCTACTCCTTGCCCTGGGATTGCTGCCTAGGACTGTGACCCAGATCTGAGTATGGGCAAAGCAACAGAATGCTGCCTCAGTGCTAGCAAAGAGACCCCTGTAATCTCCTTGTGACCAGTTGTTTGACCCCCTTGCTATCTGTGGGTTGAGAGCTCCAGAACCAGCTGTTGCCACTGCTAATTCAGTGCTCCCAAGGCCTGCACCTGGTTTGCTGGGGCTGGGTCTGTGGTGGTGTGGCCTGCACTTGACTGCTCCACTTTCACCCAGGTGCAACACGCCATTTCTGCTGACCTTCTAAGTTGTCTTTGGCTGGAAAATTACTTCACCCCATCCCTTTGTGGATTCTGC